CCAACCAGGCACAATGAGGACCACGCGGTCCCCATCCTGGAAGGCGAGTAGCACTGACAGCACCCAAGCGTTTCGTGATCTCCTTCATACTCCTCTTCCAAGTCAAGGGTTGACCACCTCTCTGCTTACGCCACTCTGATTTGGGTATGAAAAACAGCACTCTCTTCGGCGAGCGATGGTTCGGCGTACGCAGCACATGACCCGAACAACGCAGCTTTTGGTGCTAGACACATCCTTCAACAACCGAAAACTCGCTTTCTAATCGCCTCGTTACGGATACGCAGACACCAACCCACATGAGCTATGACTATGAAATAAAGATTGTCCAACATTTGAAGACGTTTCAGTTCCGCTGCCCGAACAGGCCAAGTCTCACAGCCATACAACAAAACAGTCCGCACTGTAGCCTGAAACACAAGTCCCTTGAGATTCAGAGATAGACCACTCTGACGCCATAGGTGGCTCAAAGTAGTAAACTACCAACGGTCACTCGGAGCAGAGAGCAGCGCTTTGTTCGGCAGATGGAAGCTTGGTAAATGTAAGCCATGCCCCAAGCACCTCAAATTTGTGGGTCTCACCTGTTGCTCCGAGGAAGCGGATTAACTACCAGGTAACCGCTTACGCACCAGTTAATTGCGAATTCACCGCAGCCAACTTACTCTTGCTATACCACGGAGACGCCGGTGGTCTGACATTTGAAGAAACACCAACCAGGGAATAAGATAGTTCTTACAGATACCTTGCATAAAAGGTCTTTTAGCCTGAGTGAAATTCGGCTCTGACGTCAAAAATGATGCAATTTCTCGAACGCAGCTCGCGCCTTGATTATCAGCGCACAAACTTTACCACTTATCGTACAATTACGGTTTGTGCAGCTGCCAAGATACGTGAACCAATCAACGAATTCAAACTACCATTCGGAAGTTTCAGAGAAGTACAAAGGAAAAGGAAAACTTTAAAGGTGAAAAACGCGTGTCAAAACATGATATCACCTCTGAGATTCTGGTTAAATTACTTTGCATAGACCAACCAAATGACGTCAACATATCGTTCAGCTGTAGCACCCTTTCGGTGCCTAGCTGCCATGCCACCCGAAGGAAGCACGAGAGCTGGGATACTGCACAGGTTCCTCAAGCCTAGACAGAGGAAGTCGAGAGGCAGAGGTCGGGTTTAAATCACGAACCTTCCGGTCAGTAATTTCGCATCCTAACAACTTGACCATCTCACCCGCAATAATGTTAGCATATCTTTCAGCTGTAGCACCGTTTCGGTCAGCATAATCCCAATCCATTTACCACTCTTTGGGCGCGATTTTCATACCTGGATTTACGGTCAGTTGGAGTTTACAGTCCAAGACGTAAATGAAAAACTCAAACAGAAAAGGACAAGACCATTAGTTACTAGATGGCTTCTGGACAGTTCAATGAATGCCCAAATACGCCTGGAGACGCGGAAATAAAGTGCACGAATACTTACAAACTCTAGGCTTATCGCTCTCCAGTCCAGAGCAAAAGGACAAATCCATCCACAGAGTTGAAGGGTGCTTTAACGTTGGAGAAATCCGCGATTGCTGGTCAGCAGTATAAATGGCGCTTCTCAGACACCTGACATTATGGAAAGATTCGGTCAGTGAGCCCACTTTCAGGTCGAAACCTTGTCTGGTACTCTTAGACTTTCGTGCCGAAGATGGGCGTCGCATCGGAAAAGAAATCAGTGGCCGTGCTGCTACAGGCATAAGACTTATACTCCAATGGTTGAAACGGTCACATCAGGTACCTTTTTTAAACACCGGTACGACCAGCGATCAGACCCAAATCTCTGGAAAATGTTCCTTCTCCCAAATAAGCATGAACAGCCTATTCAAAGATTCCCTTCCAACCTCGAACAGGGCTTGGGGAAACTCATCAGGTCCGGTGACCCGCTTCAAAGCAGAAGGGTCTTGCTACTTCATCAGTTGATAGAGATTTAAGACATCGGCCACTGCTCAAAATTAGCAAGTCGAATAAAAAAGGCAGAAAGATAACTAAATTGCCATCCAAGAGATTCCGGTTAATGATATAGTCGGTGGAATTCGACATATATATATATATATATATATATATANGGACTTCCGGAGGTGAAGCTAAGGCTTTTAGAGTCAGCCGACGGATTGCGTCTGATCTGTGAGACCTGTTACCTAGGCGCTGAAGGTCTAGGACGGTAGACTACTCGCAACTCGGGTTGCTCCTTGCAGCCACTCGTAGAGGTGCTGCTGCAGTCTGACTATGGTCATCGCGGCAGTTAGCAGTTTCAAGTGGAATGCTCTTAATGTAACTCCTCCATCTTGGTATCTTCTGAAAGTTCTTCATGTTGTGCCCCGCCCCACAAATGTGCGCGCTTCTCTAGCTTGTTCTTGGTTTCGTTGAAAACGGTCGACCTCACCAAACACTGCACCGCGCCCTAGTCAAGCTTCTTTTGTCCAGACCCTTCTATCCCAGCTGACTGGTGCTTTGGGTGTAGCTTAAACAAGACTCACCTTTCCCAAATATATATATATATATATATATATAATCGTTGTATTAAGCAAGTCTATCCCACATCCCTTGATCGCACCTACAAGAGCCGTTTAGGCGTGTATTTACTGGCAAGATAATTACATTTTGGCAGGCACCCCGATAACTGTAGTCAGCCATGAGACGAGCCGCGGCCTAGGATCCAATGGGTAGTCCTGAACCACGAACTAATTGTGTTTTCGCAATCCAAACAGATTAAATCAATCGTGGGACCAAGTTTGACTGAGCAGATATACCCATCATGATATCCCAGAATTCCGCCTGAATTTTAAGCCCTAACTAGACACCCCATTAAAAACAAAAATGTATATTCCGCGGAAGATCCCTACGCAAGGGTGTCATTTGAAAATGACAGCAGATCGTGTGATAGAAAAGCTGAGGAGTTTCTCTTGCAGCTGTACAACAATGGGAAGAACTCACCTATATCACTCCTGTCATGCGCGTAAGCAGCGCTGCCGACAGTACTGACAGCCCACAAGAATAAAAAATCGCGTGCAGCCATAATACGTCCTAGGCTAGCACTTTATTGGGAGTGACTCCCATCGCCAAACTACCGGCGAAACGACATTCATATTAGGCGGTGGTTACACCGGTTGCGTAAAACAAACCTTGTTAGTCCACTTGGACTCGATTTCGCGGATCAGCCGAAGGGTTTGAACCGCCGAGTTTTAGGCCCTTGCAGGCTTCACTAGTTTCATCTTACATGGCTGAATGGAATGCTTGCCATCCAGTACTCAAAGACTCTGATCAACTGCTCGGGCTGTTCAGATTTACGGCAACCATATTAAGAATAACTAACCCATCATTCCCTGTCTCAAGTTTGCGTAAGGTGCCTTTACTGTGCTTCATCTGTTTCACCTTTATTTTCTCTTTCGACACGCGTTTCTGCTACGTCTTTTTATCACATTTTCTTTCCGTTTATTCCTACCGTTTACACCAGCTTGCAGCGCTTTTTATCGCTCCGTCATCCAGTCCCGACAAGCGACCATGTCAGATCCCGGCTTCTTTTGGCATTCCACCCTAAGGGACTAATGGTAATGGGCGGTGTCTCGTTATCAGTAGCCACTGACATAAATTTAAAATTGTACAACATTTACGTGCCCATCCGTGCTTACGCTACGCCCTAGGCTATTCGGGAAGAAATCGGTTGAGTAGCATCAATTAACTGCCGTTCTTGACTGCTTCAAAGGCAACTGTGGTAGGCTGGAATACGTTTTAGGCTAATCATGAAAATTAGGGTTAGTGGATTCAGTCCCATCCATTCAACACCGTCGGCAGACGATGTCTAGTGGGGTGCTTGTCGCAAGCAAAACGTCACCTATGTCATCTACGGGAAGCGCCATTTTACCGAAAAGACCATGCAGGCCAGTGAGCGGATATCCACCTTTTTGGACGGTCAATGTGTGGGGCTCGACAGAATCCTACCGGGAATTTTGAGCCCCTTAGGACACTAAGGTGTGACGTGCAGTGATAGATATCTGAGGCTGCCTGAGAATGTTTTCAACACATTGACGGCAGGGACTTTCCTCCAGTAGGTTACTGCTGGCACATTCGGAATCGTGCCACCATCCTTCCTTTGTTTCAGCCCTTTTAAGATCTATTCACTTTCTAGATACATTCAAAAAGTTTATTTGCTCATACTAGGCAAAGGACAGCATGAAGAGTGGTCCAGTCATAATTCCCGTGATGTGTTGCATGTCTTCTGGGCAAGAGTGCTACCAATGTCTACACATTATCATCATGCGTGTGGCCTTCAACAATAAGTGGTAACGAGAGGACACACAATACTTTATGCACTCTGCACGCAACCACTAGCTCGGATTCACCACTGATACTCTTCTGGTGGTTTCCGCGCTTTCACTTCATGGTTCATGCAAGCTAGACTGTTCGAAGACTGCGACCCGTCACTGAGACCTTCACAAAAGATAGAGAAGTTGCATTTACTTAGTGTGGCTCAAATGATTATCCGAATTACTCGAATTCTTGCCTCGCCCACCGGAAACATTTCCAGGACAGTCTGTGCACACAGTTTGCATCTGATTTAACCGCAGCATTTATCATTTCCATCACAATTTCCCCGTCCTTGGGAGAGCTAGCAAAATTGCAAACATATCCAAAGTCAGCCTCATCTATACCTGCTTGGTCATTGAGTTTGTGGCACGAGCTTACGGACCTGTTTTGTCGAAGAATCTGAGATTCTAAAGAGGGATTCGATGAATTCGTACCTATCATTTCTGGTGGATAATAAAAACAATAAACCCTCTAAGTGTGAGATTATCTGTCAAAACGGCGTCGAGACACGTTCTCCCTGATAAAAATTACGTCCTTATAGGTCTTATAGATAATTCCTCTCTTCTAGTCCAACAGTTATGGCTATTCTCAACAGCTAAGTGGGTTTTCGGAGATTAAGTATATGGGTGTAAGTTTACCGTAAATGTCAGTGGTTTTGTTTTTTGAAATAGTTTGTGGCCGAGCACGGCGATTTAAGCAACCTAAAAGTTTAAAGATAGCCGCGACTTCCCACGCCTGGTCTCGAAATATGAGCAGCAAAGAACTCTCGAACTTATTTTTAATGCCACGCGGTTTGTAGGCCACAAATATAGGGGGATTCTTGCCCAGGTTGCAGAATTGGGAGAGAATGACGTCCACTTAACTCTCGGCACCTTTCTCATTTCGCATTGCTTCACTAAATGAAATTTTCACCTCCCTGGTACTCCGCGCGATTTATATTCCCCATCGCCATCTTCGTGGGTAAAGTCTCGCAGTATCCACAGGGTTTGTTTAACGGAGTAGTCCGAACCCCATGAAAAATGCTTGATGACACTAAATCGCAGCTTTGAGTGCTGTATACAGTGGCATGCATGTGAAAATGGCCTTGGTTCCTTCTCTCAGTCAACATTTGCCATCAACTTGTATCCATTTTCATCTTCAACGACACGACACAGATATACATTTCTCTATGGGGCTCCAGTCACGCTACCTCAAATTTCTAGTTTGGCACCAGATGTCCCTTGAAAGGTAATCATTACCAAGGGCCGTTCCTGAGGAAACATTCAGGTTAGTGTTTCGGACTGATAAGGGTATTGTTTGTTTTTTCGTGCATCTCGCCCACATCATGGGTTTGTTTTGTTGATACTGGGATAGCCTACTAAGATGGAGAATTCCCAAAATGTTCTGGGGAAACCTCTTGAAAATATGCATCCGTAAGTTTGTGTTTTGCTTGGAAACGTCCCTTGAAAGTTAGAACTCTACTTTTATGCTAATCTGTTGGTGCCAGGATAGAAGCAGTTTTAGAGGTATCTAAAGATTTTAGCGGTTCAAAGATGTTTTATGGTAGTCTGAATAAATGCTTTTGGCCATTCATTTATTTTGCCACTGATGTGCGGTCTGCTGCTCAGCACTCAACCAGATTCACCAGGTTTACCATCTTAAATCCTGTAACACATATGTAATTACTCCACTGTCAGGGAAATTCTGCCGAATGCAGCTACTTCCAAAGCCATTTTCAGTCTTTGGACCTCATGCTGGTGACAGTGAAGCCTCTTATATTGGGAAGGTAAATTCATCAGCTCAAGCCTGTTCCTTGGCGAAATGTAGGTTGCCGAACACACTTTCAAGGACTTTTACTTGTGTTCCCATTTACGTTGAACTCCAGTACCACCTAAAAATACAGTGCGTCTGTGAAAAGAGGTTTGGACACCATGGCCATTACCTTACATTAAATATCATTCATCAAAGCCCACCTCCTCCAAGGAAAATTTGCATCAATTCTTGCGCAAGGATATGCCAAGTGCTGGAACGCAACTCGTTGTTAAATCAGTTTTAAACTAGAAATATAGTTACCGTACGGCCGGATTAACTCTTGGACTTCTGAACTTATATTTGAATGTGGTGTCTCGAAACACAAATTCTTAAGTATATATAGTGTTCTTGATCCCCCACCGGCTAAGCAATTTTAAATTTAGTAAAAATAACAAAAAGCTTGCAAGCAACATAGTGTTTAGGTTTTCCAAACTTAAATGCAATAAGTTTAATTCTCGGAGTTTCCAAACCTCTTATCGATCGGTTATGCTTCTAAAATGACACAAAGCAAAGTAATTTCGGTATACACGAACTCGACAATTATCAGAAGGTCAGGACGTTCTGAACAGACTATCTACATTTGACTATGAATAGCAAAGGAAAGCTAGCGCAACGTCAGGGAGATCTTCCAGAAGACTTTTTGCGCTAAATTCAGAAACCGAATATAAGGGCACAAAGTAAGCAGACTCATAAATTCAGTTGCGCCTGGAAGGAATGCACCCAGATATCTCCATTAAAACATGAAGCACTTGACTAAAGAAGGACCAGCCTCAGAATGGCAAACTTCAGCGGATATTACAATTGATTAAGGACGGTGCGCTTCGATTTACCCCCTAAGGGTGGGGGCTAACCTCTGCCCGGTTCAGGGACACCCAGAATGAAGACAGTGCATGTGATTCTTCAATCCTAGTGGGCTGGAAGTATTTTAGTTCCTAAGTGCTCAAAAATAGTGTTCTGTTTCCTAGATATCGACGGTTAAATTCACGTGGTGTAGAGCAGTAGAGTCGAAGTGGTGTGTAAAATATTTTGGCGCACCAACCACACTTGTTTGTTTTGATTCGAAGAGACATACTAAATTCGGGGTATCTCTGCATCCAGTTCATTAAAAATGTGTTCTAACAGAAAAAACAGACTCGTGGTGCTTAACATTCATCATCATCAACGACAGCATGACATCAGTGTTCAACACCGATGCCTCACTGCCGTACAACCATGACTTATTTGAAAGCCTTATTGTAAAGAAAAGA